ATTGCATCAAGGAGAAAGAAGTAAACTTAAATACAATTCAGACAACACGACTTCAGGGTATTAAAAGACTTTGGCTGATTTCAAGAGGTTGCCAAAAACTTCATAAAATTTCTAGACAATTGAGACTCTTTTCCCTAGCACTACTTGCAGCTAACATGTGAATAATGTTTAAATACATGATAGATGTGCATTAGGGAAGATAAAATATAGACACCATTGCAGTGCAGGCCATGTTCAATAGAAAAGAGACGCTACAGAATATAAACATAGAGTAAGACCGCAGAATAGAACATCTAAGTATCGTCCAACATGAGATGTATGGCAGAAGTATAGATATAGGATATTCGTCATAGAGTAGTGGTTGTGTATAGAACGTAGAGATCGGGACTTCTTAAGTCAACAATACAGTCGTACATTAGTGTCATAAGATAACGAGCATAAACAAAAGTAAGCACAATATTTTTATTTAATTCCCTCGACTGAAGAGAGGGTCATACGGAAAAAACACAAAATGCGTTTGTCTGTTTGTTTGCCGGGCTCAAAGGTCAAAAAAACATCGCCTTAAAAGTTCAATGGTAGATGTTTTTCTCCACCCTAAAAGGACGGAGTCTTCACAATGGAAATTCGTATGTTTCTCCGGTGTCTGATTGGTCGAAAAATGGACCAACCAGATTTCAGAAGGATTTTTCTCTCTTATTATCAGGACAAGTGCTCGTCATGCACCAGTAATGTTAAGTAACATTTGAGGACCATGTGGTAAATAGACGCTATTTCTTGATTTTGATAATTGATTTGCAATACCTTCAGCGGCTTCAATTCGTCGAAGTTCGATCAAACCTAACATGAATATTAAAATAAAGTAAGACAGGATAATAAAAGATATTCGACCATTTACCATTACCAGCTTCATCTAAAGCTTTGCCAATCAAATCAGCTGCACGAGCATCACCTTCTGCTGCAATAACATTTGCTTGACGACTTACTTTTTCGACTAAAAATCGTTGTTTTTCAACATCTTGTTGTACAACTTGTTTTAATTCAACAGCGCTTGTCAGTTCAGGTTCAAAAAACTTAAATGCGTCTAATTTAAAGAAAAAAACAATATAATCAACTCGAGACTCTTTTTTGTTGTATCTTACAGTTGAAATATCATCAAGTAATAAACCAAATTGAGCAGCACGTTCTATTAATAATTCACTAATACGTTGAGAAATAAGTGTACGTTGTGTAATCAATTCAATAGCATCAAATTGAGACTTAGTACAACAGATTTTAAAACTTCATTAATAATTGATGATAAAACACGTTCTTCATAATCTGAACCCAAATTTGCAAAAAATTTTTGGTAAAAGTTCAGCTCTTGGTCGATGAAGAACACGTAATGTTATATTAATTGTTTGTAAATCTAAAATAAAAATAATAAAATGTAATTTATGCATATTTCATTTATACGAAGAAAAAATAACGGAGACTTCCGATTTTAAGTTTTATAAAGTATCCTAAGATTGTTGAATGATGAAAGTGTAGAGGTGTAAACCGATCAGTTGAGTTGCCATCGATGGCCACAAAGTTTTTTAAGATACCTCAGCCATATACATTCATTGATGTTTCAATAGACATCGTATTTATCATCTTTTTTTTCGCGAGCTTACATTTTCCTCATGTTCACTTCTCTCCTGAAGTTGACTGTTTTCTTCTAGCTTTTATACCTTTTATTTCTGTTATTGATGGAACAGATCGTGGTCGTGTACGAATATCAAATATAATTGGTCTATGAAGCCATGAAATCATAAAATGAGTTCCTTCTTCAATAACATCTAGTTTAACACATTGAAAACGATCAAAAATAATATTTCGATGGCCACCGTCAACTAGAATATATTTATATTTAAAGAAAACAAGTTTTTTTTTAATCTTTTCATATTAACTATTATAAAGCATACAATTAATCACACCACCAACAATAGCTAAACCAATACCAATTCTTCCTAAAACACCAAATTCTTCTATCGAAATAAAATATTATTAAATAAACGAGATGAATTTATTTGCAAATAGTTCCAGAAACAAAACGAAACCATATGAAAATTCTTCATATCTCTATCGATAGAAAAAGAAAATGCATCACTATTTAATCTATCTATCTACTACAATAACAAACCAATGTAATAAAATACATAGAAAATGATTAAATAACGATAAACTTTGAAAGCAAAAAAAAATACATGCATACTTTTAAACAAATCGAAATCCACTTGAAAAAATATGAGCACCGTTTTTTATTTTAGACAAAATAAAAGAAAAACAAAACGTGTATAAAGTTTAGCACCGTTCAGATATTGTTTACCATTGAGTTTTAACGAATTTGATGTATCACTGTTCTTTGCTACTGCAGCAGCAATTGCTTCGGGTGCTGGAACAGTCTATAAAGAAATTATTTATATCATAGAAAAAAAAAATGTTTTTCAATTACTATAATTTGATTTTGTTGGAAAAAATTGTTGTGGAAATGATGCACTATCAACACGAAAACCTTCAAGATTTTTATAGTTTTTTAAAATTTCTTCAAGTTTTGGATTGATTTTTGGTTTCTGTCGTGAATATTTTAAAAATGCCCAGAATTTTTCTAAACCATATAATTGATCTAAATAGAAAAATTATTTTTGTTATTGACACTTTTCTTTTTTTTTTTGTGTAATCTATTTTATTACCAGCTTCATGATCACAAAGAGTTTCTTGTTGAAAATCTTCAAAACCATGTTGACGAAAATGTTTTTCTAGATCATATGTATAAAATCGAAATAGACATTCAACACCATATTTATACATAAATAGTAATATTCAATTTTTTTCTTATTATTTTTCGTACATATGATGATTAAAATTTTCACATAAGAAAAATGACTAAAAACGATAGAGTGTATTCATTTCCATTGATTGGCCAGGAACAAGTTTAACGCATTCTAGAAATTAGATCATTACAGAAAACAAAATGTATTTTATTTGTAAATCAACATAACCTTAGATTATAAATATTTTCTATAAAATAATAAAGTTTGGCGATTAGTAAAACTTAGTGTTTTTAATCATTGACGATTATTTTATTGCTTTTCAAATTTATCATGTGGATAAGAATGATAGTATTTATTAAAAAAAAACTCCATAAAAGAGTCAAATCTTTGTTTTTTTTTGAAAATTATAGCAACAGACATATTCTCTATTATCTATTTAAATAAGAATACAAGTATTTTTAGACTCTGATTTGTACCGGAGAGTAGTTTTCGCTGTTGTTTTTAGATATGTTGACTCTTCTTTAGCCATTAAGAGACTCGTTTTCTTTACGTTCAATGTAACATAATTTCAATTTTTTTTTACCAGTAGCTTGTTTCTCTCGAAATATTGTAAATATGTACTGAACTAATAATCTTTTTTTTCTCTACAATGTCAATGTTTCTTTTTTATCATCAAGATATTCTTGTTTATATTTAAGGTAAACTTGTTGAGTAAAACTATTTTGTTGTAAGTGTATGAGATGAATGTTGAACCATAAAAATCATATGAATTTGAATTATTTCCATGCCAATAATGTGAATCATTGTATGATGATGAATATTGATCATAGAGATCTTGTTGTCGAGTTCTAAATAAGTAAAACTCATTTTATACTAATAATAATTGACATTCAATTGTTTGTATTAGGAACAAAAAATACAAGGAAATTCGTCAAAAAAAACAAAGCAACACAAGTTGGTGGGTGTGTCTATGTTCTTCATTCACACCCACCTACACACCCACACCCACACCCTATTAGTGATTTAATTTCAACAGAAATATTCATTCGATGGGATAGAAATCGAATTTTATGAAAACTTTTTAATTTTCTATACAGTTATTTGACTTTGTCTTAACGAGTTTTCATATAATGACAGTGCGGTCGTACTCAACAGACTTGTTGATCTTGTGTTTCCAAGAAAATGAATATGTTTATTTGAATAATGCACTCTAATCAGTTTTCAAAAGTCGTACTAAAAAATAATTCTATGATTTATGATTCAAATTAATTGCTTTTATTTTTTCGATGATGATGATGATGATGATGATGATGATGAATAGAAATTTCTTCTGATCCAAAAAAAAAGAAAGAAAAGAATATGTATTGTCTATGAAGGACTGTATATGAACAAAGGACAAGTATTCACATCCATGCACATGAAAAACGATGAAATTAATTCGTATCTCATCATTTCAATTAATCATATGATGATTAATCAAATCAATTACATTCGAATGTGCACATCATCGTCAATTATCGTTCGTCAAATTGATATCAACATCAATAGAATGTCTTTGATTGGTAATGTGTATGTTTGAACACATATATATAAGAAACACATTTTTATCAGTATTCTCATACGATTCGATCGAACAAAGCATGAGCATGCTCAATAAAGATAAAACATGACACTCACATGATTTATTTTTCACGGTTTACAATTTTTTATATTACTTACAATAATTAGTATTATTTTACATTATGATTTTTTTATCAAAGACATACAGTTATCAATTTATAATTATTTACAATATTATAAATGAAATATATTTACAATGCTACGTATGAGTTTATAATGTATGAAAATATATACATTTATAATGAAATTTGTTACATAATGTTATGTTAAACATTTGAATTCTATAGTAGGAAAAAGAAATCTATACATGTTTAATAATTATTATGTAATTTACTGGAATATAGCAATAAAGAATGTTCAACGGTGTGGATGTGGTGGGTGGTGTCGAGTTTGTAGATATGGGTGTGTAGGTGTGCGCACGTGAATCCGTATGCGAGCATGCTGGTTTTTATCTGGACGTGTCAGTGTCCAGTAGAAATAATTTGGGACGCAAAGAATTAAAATACATTAATTTTCGATGATATTTACAGATCGATATTATATAATGATGCATTTTTTTAGAACGAAATCTAGGGGTGGGTGTTATTAAAATTCATTTCTGTACAATTCAATAAATGCATTATATTACAATGAAATTTTATGAATTTCATAATGGATTAAAATGTTTTGATTTACAATGATATTCATTGAATCATATTATATTAAGATGTATTAATTTACAATGAAATTTATTATATGTTGTTAAATTCATTACTTGCAATGATATTTATTAAATGATATTATTTAAAGATGCATTATTTTTAAATGAAATATGTAAGTTTATGATGCATTATATTGTATTAAATTACAATGAAATTTATTGTATAATGTTATGTTAAAATGCATGAATTTACCATAATATTTATTGAATGATATTATATAAAAATATATTAATTTACAATGAAATTTATTATATGTTGTTAAATTCATTATTTACAATGATACTTATTGAATGATATTATTTAAAAATGCATTATTTTACAATGAAATGTATACAATTTACGACGCATTAAAATGTATCAATTTTGTAGTGAAATTTATTATATGATGTTACGT